AGATATAATATCGGCCCAAGTTTTCAAGTAGTTCGATGTAACGATTTCCAATTTAAAAGACTTCACTTTCGTACCTGGCATTGCATTAAATAATTAAGTTCAGATCCAGAATTTAATTTTTTTTCAAAACATTAGGAAGCCTTGCATTTTCGTAAAACTATGCCCAAAACTCGATTCATCACATTATTTATTTAAACTTCTCATACAAACTAACTTTTATGTGTCATTTAACAAAACATACAATTCTTCAAAGTTTCTGGCTTTGCCACTTTGATTGCTCTAACTACTTCTTTTTGACGTATTATTTTCCTCATAAGCTGACTTCAAATTTTTTTCAATAAAATAATCTCTATTTTTGAAGAACAGTCAGACAAAAGCAGCAACGAGATAGTTGTGAATATTTTTCTTCAGACTTTGATTGTTGCAAAATGCCCGCTTGCTGACTTCACAATTCCGAAAAAAAAAGTTTTCTGTTCCTTTTTCTTTGACAGACATTACCATGGCAACTACTCTTTCTCTCTTTGCTGAACAATAGGGTTTAGACTCAACTAGACAAAAGCAGACGTGCGAATATATCGATATGCTTTTGTGACAGCATAAAACAGCGAACCAGAAAGCAAAGGAAACTGAAAAACATAGACCCCGAAATCTTTTCTCGAGAATATTTCTTTTGGAAGCAAAAACGTCTTTTTGTTGGAACAATCTTATTCTTTCTTTCTCTATTTTCAGGAAAGGAAATGACGTTATAGAGTCAAATTTCTACTGAAATGTTTTTCCGTTTTCTTTCTTTTTTCTTTATCAAAAAAATTGGACAGATATATGCTTTTTTTACGATGCTTAAGCGATTACTTAAAAATTGGAAACTACAAAATCGAGATAATATATTGCTTTCTCCGGACAAAATCGTTTCTGTGACATAAATTGTGGTTCCTGAATTATTTTTTAGTTGTTAGTTTGATTTTGTAATTAAAAATACTCAATAAAAATTATAACTTTTCAAAAAAAAGGTAGAAAACCTTTTTAATTCTGCTCGCAAATTTTAATCTTATTTGATTGTTTACTTTATTTTAGACTGCTTAAAAATTGCTGTTTAAACAAGTAAAACATTTCTTTTTACGGAACAGTTCATTAAGGAAAGACGTGAGTTTTCCTGCATTTTAATTTAAATTATTTAATAAAATTATTTTATAATCATTTCTTTTAAATTAATATTTCTTACGTCACGTGTAAGAGACATTTTTTTAAGACTAAGGAAAGGAAATGAAACTATTTTAAAATTAATGACTCAAAATTTCTAATAAATCTAAAAAAGAAAATTCACGCAGTACAATCTTTATATCTGTAATGTTAAAAATTGTCCCTTTTTTAAGAGTTGGCCATATACGCAAATTTTTTCTGATAGTAAGTTTAAAATTTTCTTTAAGTAGAAGAGAGATTTTTTCCTTTAAAAATATATTTGTAAGGATAATTTTAGAAAATATTTCAGTATCATGCAAGGATTTTAGAAAAATAAAAAAGTGCCTAAGAAGCACCATAATTTAATAAAAACAAATTTGAATAATTATTCGAGTAAAAGCTCTTTTTAAATTAATTTAAATAACACAAGGCTATTGTATACCAAAATTCGGGTTTATTGGAACAGTTGCTTCTGAGAAAATATTTCTGCTGTAAAAGAATTTGCTGCTAGTAAAAAAAGAAAGTAAAAGCAGAAAGGAACAGGCATCATTGATAACAGATAGCACAAGAGGTTTTTCAAAAAACATACAAATGCATCGAATGTAGCTTGAATAAAATTGTATTTGCTTGATAGTTTTTAAAATTAGATTTTTACTATGAAGATAAATTAAACTGTTGGTCAAAAGACGTGAAACTACCCTTTTTTTAATAGTTTTTACTATCTAGTTGATGTCACTAACATAATTATTTTCAATCTCAAAACTATTATAACTTTTTCCATATGTTCAAGAATCTATACAAGTGGAGTCAAGTAATCTATCTGAAGGTTATAATTTGTAATCCAGTTTTTATTTTGTTCTTATCAAAGAAGTAAAACATTGACTCATTGAATAACCATGTTGTTATCAGAATAAAAACGTATTTTCTTCATGAGCATCATATTCTCGTAGTCTTTAGTTTTGGCCAAGTGGAGTCAAGTGATCTAACTACAAAATGTTGTTTTATGTGATCCAGATAATAGTTTGATCTTATCAAAGAGCATACTGTCAAATATAAATTGATTGAATAATCATGTTGTTATCCGAGTAAAATCCGATTTTCTTCACGAGCATGGCTTATATTCTCGTAGTCTTTTGACCAAGTGTAGACAATTGATCTAACTGCAAAATGTTGCTTTATGTGATCCCATTAATAATTTAATCTTATCGAAAAGAATGTGAAATATAAATTGGTTGAATAACCATATTGTTATCAGAATAAAAACCTATTTCCCTTATGACCAGGGCTAATATTTTCTCAGTCTTTTGCCCAAATGAAGTCAAGTGACCTAATTAGAACATGTAATATTGTAAGATCTAGATTACATACCCTTTAACATTGAATGTTTTTTTGCATTTACGTAATTAAAACATGTTTAAATACGTTCTTGATATACTTTAAATACTTTATCGAAATACTTTAAATACTTTATATTTCTACCGTCTTTTAATGAATTATTAACTCAGTGAGCACTTGTTTTGAGTAAAATTATGAAAATAACTGTTCGTGTCCTATTTAAATAAGCAATGCGCTTGCAGAAATTAATATAACAATTAAATTAAAGAAAATTGCTCTTAAGGAAATAATATAATATCCTCACTTAATAAGTTTCAAAATTCAAGGCAAGTAATTTTAAAAAATCTTTATTTATGAACTGTTAAAAACATTTAAAATTGTCTATAAAAATAGTAATTGTAGTTCAATTAAATGAGATTGCAACGTTAATAAAAATCTTGAAAATTAACTGATATGTACCCTTATTTCCAACATAACCTTAAGTCGGTGAAGCTTTTCGATGAAAACAAAAGGCAAGGTAAAGTTAAAAAATCATTAAAAACAACGATATTTTTTTGGAATATGATGATAAAAGATGTCACAATTGCTGTTAGACACGAAACATTTTATTTGAAACATTATTTTTCTCCTAAAATAAGTATAAATTTAAATTATCGGTATTTTTTTTAATGGCGGGCACTTGGGGTTTATCCCATTGGCCACAGAAATTCCAGAACTGCTACTCTCTTCCCGATACCCAGTGGGCACCTGTGGCGAAGCCACGGCAGTGGAGCAGCGTCGCCCACGTCACACAACCACAAACCCGTTTATAGGGCGGGTCACATTCACGCATTCTCACAAAGAATAAAGGACATAGATCACAGAGAGAGAAAGAAGCATCCTTGCCCTGAGTAGGATTCGAACCCGCGGCCAATGGCCCCGCAGTCAGACACGCTAACCACTCGGTCTCCTGGTCGGCAATTTTCGGTATTTTAAAATTGATACTATAATAGTTTTATCTACGTGACTCAAATATTGGTTGTATACTTTCTCGGTAAAGTGCTTAACGTTATTTAAAGTATTTTTTTTAAGATTCCGAAACATCATAATAATCCTGTATTAAACTAGTGCTTCTTAAACGCATATACATATATATATATATTATAATTTCACCGAAATACCCTTTTAGTTTTCTTTTTCTTTTTTATCTTTTGTAATACCAAAGATTTTTTTAGCTAAGATGCTTAGGCATTTATTCTGTAAAAAATAGCACGTAAGGGAAAATGATCAGTGACATAAATTGGAGGTGATTTCTTATTCCTTCGTCAAAAATAAGACTAAACAATTTTTGCAGTTTATTCTTTGAATACTAATTATCTAGATAAATGTAACAGATCATAAAATGACCCGTGAAAAAAAACAGTGAAGAAAATCTACTTTTTTCTTATACAATGCAGAATATTCCAGATTATGATGAAAAGCAGAACCACTCCGGATGCCAGTACTTTTTTCCGTATAATCCAATTAATCTGAACATGTTGCTAATCAAAGAATATGGTATACAGTTATTTTTACATGAATAATTATAGTAAAATCACTGAATTACTCTAATCAAGTAAATATTGTTGCAACGATGACGGTAATTTTATTATTAATAATAATAATATTTTACGATATAAATGGATTTTACGGTAAAATGGATTTAACGGATGATGCCCAAAAAGTGAAAGTATTTTATACCGTAACTTGAAACAGAATTTTTGACTGTGAATTATTAGCGATATAAAGTTGAGGGAATTTTTGTTTAATTGTCAAAAATAAGTTAAATGATTTTTGTAGTTTTTCTTCTTCGAATATTAATTATGCGGTTGCAATAACCAAACAAAAAATAAAATGATAAATTACAGTGTTTAAAATATGCCTGTTTCTTGTACACTGAAAAAATTACATTAAAAGCACCGACAAACAGGGTGCTGGTTCTTTTTTACCGTAAAATTCAATTTTACTGGAACATGTTACAAATCAAAAAATCTGCTATACCATCATTTTAACTGTAATATTTATAGTAAAATCACTGAATCACTCTAATTAAATAAATATTACTGTAATGATTTCGGCATGATATTTTACATTAAAAATAGATTTTACGGATGAGGCTTCCGAAGATCTAGTATTTCATATCGTAATCTGATTCGGTAAAGTTTTCAGGGAAATATTAGTGACGAAAGATGAATGAAATTTTTTTCATTATTGAAATTAAAAATTAATGATTTTTGTTAAATTAATGATTATGAAATAACGTAGCATAAAAAAGTAAAACATTACATTGACTAAAAGCTGCCTATTTCTTGTAAGTATTTGTCCTTTTTACACTGAAAATATAAAGAAAAAAAAAACAATGTTTTGAGGAAACTTTAATAAATAAAAAAAAAAGATTTTTAATAAGAAAGAAACTAAAGTACGACATTAAAAAACCATTAAAAATTAAAAGCATTTCGTGCAAATAAATTTTATTTATCTACAAATGTGGTCGTATTCTTATATTTATTTTTATACAAAACATAGTAATACAAATGTATATACAATACGTAATCAGCAAATGCCCAGCATTTTGGTGATTCACATCAACAAATTTCCTTTTTTTAGTAACAAAAGCATTTATATACACTTATACATCCATACAAATGGCAAACCAAATGTGTTTCATCATTATATTTGCAATTTTTTAAATATACATAACTTATTTTGTTATTATAAATCACACATCATACACACAGTATTAAAATCTTCAAATGCAAATAGAAACAAAACAATAAATTACAAGTATACAACGGCTTGTTTAAAAATCTAAATAGTAGTGAAATAAATATAAATGAGAAAAAAAAATAATTTCTCTATTTAAGATATAAGATAATTTTTTTTAAATATTTGTATTTTGAATTCATGGTTATGTATCAAAATGTGTCGGATAAAAATAAGGATTATCCTCATATTGAGAGATTACGAGTTCATTCTTTGCATTGAAACTGACTGTTTTCTATAAGTTTCAAGGCATTGAGCCCCGGAGCAAATTTTTTTTTTAATTTTCTGACCACGTGGGACTTTCCTGTTAAACTTTATCGGAAAAACTGATTTTTATTTAAGAAAATTTGTATCTTAAATTGTTTGTAAATATAACGGTAAATGCTTAAATAGAAAGGTATTAAGGATTTAAATTAGAAGTTGTTTTCTAAATACTTCAGCTTCGATATATTTATTTGTCTGAAAGCTTTAAAAATATTAAATAGTTTGGTTAATTTGAAGCTTCTGCCAAAATTTAAAACAATATTACCATAAGTCTAGTTATTCTACATGTTTTGTAATGAACATAATATTAAACAATTTCTGGCAAAAACTTCTCCTCTTAATGGAATTTAAATTTTTATAAAGTTTTTAGTTGAGACATTAAGTTGAAAATGTTTTTATTTAAGAGAAACATTGCTTTAAGAATGCGAGAAGGTTGAATATGAAATTAGCATACATTAAAAATACAAATCGATACAAAGTAAGAAACTAAATTCTGCATTTTTCCATTTAGGTGAAATTGATTATTTAACAAAATTTTCTAAAACAATTGCCCTTTTCTAAAACAAGTTTATAAGTGTATTAAATTGCTAATGAGTTCATCGTCCAAATTATAGGCATGTGAATGGACGTGAAGTTTTAATGGCTGTCAAAATATCTCAGCCCCCACAAAAAATATTATTTTACTAAATACTGTAAACTATATCTTTCATGATTAAATTCAATACTAGGTTTTGCTGTCTTAAATAGTTCGTAGAATTTTCATTTCCAGTCTTAACTTTTATGAATTTGAGAATGATTTCAATTGCAATCATAATAATGATAATGATAATGAAATGAAACAGATAGATTAAATATTTTCCGAAACAGAAGAGAAATAATGCATATCATTCTCATATTTTATTTTTAAGCAGTTTTAATTAATTTATCTTGTTTCATTCAAAGAATAATATTGATTATTTATGAGAAATTTACCAGAGATGTATCTACCAATAAAAGCAAGAGACATTTAAGGGAAAAATTTAAGGATTAAAAATGAGCTCACACTAAACATATAAAAAATAGCTTTTAAACATTATAATTTAAAACAAAGAAACCATGAATTAGTCAATCTGTCTTTTAATAATGATTATATGTATAATTAAAAATATATATTTCTTAAAGAAAGTGTGATTCACACTTTGATGAAGTACAGTAGTAGATCTTTAAACATCATGCATTAGTTTTCGTTGATAAATAATATGTATGTACAGATTAATTTTTGGCATAAGCTCAGTCCTTTGTTAATAAGTATTATCAGCAGAATACGGCTAAAATGTTTAGTCCATTATTAAAGATACGTATGCTGCTTATGGAGTTTTTATCATTGATTTGTTCTCTGAAGAACACGTATTTCACAGAAATGATGTTTTCATGAACGGAGAAACACTATCCTTATTTGAACACTGTACTGTAGACTCGTCTGGTGAAAAATATTCTCCCTGCACAAAAAGTAGAACGTTAAATAAGTATTTAAGTTTTAATGCACTTCTACTTCACATTATAAAATGTACAGTAGGGAAAGAAAAAAAAACGGAAAATCCTGAAAAACTTTCGATCTAATGATCGGATCTTCAAGTTCTAGGTTTCTTTTTTAAAGGTTTAAGAAGGTGACCTCGAATATGCTAATTAATTAGTACGGACGAACGTGATGATCCAACAACTTGATGATCCCATTAATAAATCAAAAGTTTTTCAGGGTGGAGCTTCTTTGGTTTGTTTTTTTATGCATTGTGCATTATTTTCTTTCCTTTCAAACATTCTTTCACATTTTTTGAGAAATTTATTTTAGCAAATAGTTACATTTTAAAATATATAATTTGAACAGGAAAACTTTAATGATCAAATATTTTCTTTTTAATTTCGTACAGTTTAATTTGGTTTGTGAAAAAGTAACAGCATTTAATTAAGACAACTTATGTCAACCTATACACGTTGGAAACATTTAAAACCAAAGATAACTAAATAATTATCCCTCCACTCAAAATTCATTTACTGTAAAATATTTTAAATTTCTATCTAAGTATTTTAAATTTGTATTTTCATACTATTCGAATTTCGAGTTCAAGTAATTATATCATTGAAAACAACTTTTTTTATATACTATAACAAAATAAATATTTTGATATTTTTAATAATATTTGTTTTTGTGTTTCGTTTGAATTGTCATGTATCCTGATTTTTTTCAAAATTAGCACCATTACCTTATTTTGAAGAACGTTGCTCTTTTGGTTTGAAAAAAGGTGGAAATTATTTTCGTGCGAATGTATTGGCAAAATCTTCTGAAACAATATATCCAGAATTCGTTTAACTAAGAGAGTGATAATCTATCAAATTATCTGCCACCTCATAAAAGAAGTTATATTGAAAAATGCAGGTGCTTATTTTAGTTAGTCTGTAGTCTTATAACTCATTTTTATTGCGTTGTAAAGTTTACGCTTTCTCTTTCTCGAAAGGTTTTATTATAAAAATTGATAACAGAAGTGAAATTTTTGGAAAATGTTTTTATTACTTTGTAATCTATCAATAGACAAATTTTTTTTCCTAATAAGGCATCATTTGATTTGCAATTGGTTTTGTACATTTAAAAAGATATAAGTTTACCTAACGACTAAATTAACCTCTAACAATTTCATATAAAAAACAATTTCGTTTATATAACTATTTTTTTTTATTTTACCACAGATGTTTAGTAACTATTACAGTTATTCCGTCACTTTGACAACAATTTATTTTCAGCATATTTTATTTTAAATTTAACTAACTCGCTGTTGTCATACACGGCATGGAAATTTACAAAAATTCTCAACGTTTATTTTTTTTCTAGTAACATTTCAACACATGGTGCATCTATTGCTGGAGATATTTTATTCCAACAATGTGCTAAAAGAGGTCCCATTGTTAAAAACATTTTTCTCGCCGATAATAATATCTAATATAGTTTTATCGTTGCAGACCTAAATATGATGAAAGCGTAACTTAAATGTCACAATACATGCGTATGTTGCATATTGTCTGAAAATTTTTAGATATTTTTTAGTATCATTGATATAAATTTTGGTGACAGATATATAAACCAAAATAAAACTTTTTGACCATGGAAAATCTTACATTAGTTACGTCACAAGATCTTAACGAAGGATTAAAATCATGACCACTAGGGAAAGTTAAACCATGTAATTTACATATACAAAGCTAAATCAGAGAAATTATTTATAACTTTGAAGGTATACAACATATCTTTGAAAGTTTGTTCTCTGATATACGCATCAAAAACTAACTTTATGATTGCAAGGTATCCAATAACTGATATGACTTCTTTAACTTCTTCTTCATCTTCTTAGGCCCTACAGACGGTTACCGGCCAAGGTTGACTCAGTCAGTTTACCCCATCTAGATCAATTTGATGCTTTATTTCTCCATCTATTAACTCTCAAATTTTTTAACCATTTTACAACTCTATCTAACCATCTTGTTTTAGGTCTTCCTCTTTTTCTTTTACCCTCTGGTGTTTGGAAGGTTATTTTTTAATAGAATTTTCATTACTATACTGAAATACACAACATAGCCCTCTTATTTCAGAAACTTTATTCATTATGCTCTTTGAATTTTGATTGCAGTTCATGGCTGTAACGAATTCTCCAGGTTCCATATTTTCTTACTGCGCCAAAAATAATATTTTAAATATTTTTCTTTCGAACGTTGTCAGTTTCTCTTCGTCTGCTTTGTTAACTGCCAAGAAATCACTGCCATATAAAACTATTGGTCACACTAGTGTCTCGTGCAAGTTTATTTTTGCATCATAACTTATGTATTTAGATTTGCACTGGTCTCTCAATCCACGATAACATCTGTTTGCCATGTTGATTCTTTTTTTTTATTTCAGTTTTTATGTCATTATTGTTGTTTACGATTGTACCTAAATATTTAAAATGAGCCACTTGTTCCAACTCATATTCAATTATTTTCAGTGATTGCAGATTTGTGATTCTATTTGTTAGTTTCATTAATATAGTTTCTTCATCTTTGACTGACAATCCTATGATTTTTGCTTCTGCCTCGAAAGCCCAGAGAGCATCTGCAATGATTGCTCTAGTTTTTCCCACGATATCATCTGCAAATGCTAGCAGTTGTAATGATTGAACTAAAGATATTTTAATTGGCATATTCTACATAAATATCTACATACGATAAGGTAATATCTTTATTTTGAAATAATATATAGAAAAATAAGTATAATCGAGGTAAAATTTAGGTCTCACAAATGATTTAAGAATGAATACAGTTACTAAATGAAAATAAATTCCAACTTACCTGTGAGCTCGAAATAGTGTTGTATCAAACATCCGTTTGTCTGGCAGACGCAATCACAGGTTGCTTCGTTATCACAGAAGGTGGAGAAGTCGTTGCACTAATTGTCGGACTCTCCTCGATGGTGGGTAATGTGTGCATTGGCAAACTTTGGCGTGGATCTTCGCGACTTCCACTGTCATCAGCGGATCTGTGAAATTGAAGAGACACTGCTTCTACAGTGTGGGGAGGCCAGTCTGGATTACCCTGTGACCATGGACTTTTCCCACTTGGAAGCTGAATAGTTGGGTTAAGAAAGTGCAGTTTAATAAAGGTTTAGCAACTATTAAAAATATTAATTAAACACTGGAAGATAATGAAAAGTATTCCGAAAGACTATTAATTATTTGTTTGCTCATTAACGTCGCTCTAAAGCTACACAACACTGCGGAAATTTATCCCGTGATTGTGAATCGCATACTACAATACCACAATTTTAAATGGAGAGCAGATGGTGTTGTAAACATCTGACATCCATTCTACGCTTATAAGGATTCCTTTCGTCGATGATTACTAAAATTAAAATAAGGAGTGGGCAATTCTAACAGTAATGGAAACTACTAGGATGAGTTTTAAAACTGAGCAAAGGTATAGCAAGATTTGGAGTATTCATACGATTCATACCTAAATTCATACGGCATAGATTAGATTTTATTGATATAACCTCAATTATACTGCTATTAGACCTTCTCAACGACTAAATTCTGTTTAGTATCAATAAAGTTTTGAATTAGCTTCCCGTTTAATGGATTTGTTTAAATCGTCATAAAATGACGATCTTCAAAAAATTGCTTTTAAAATGTAAAATCTGGTTCTGACAGCTCTGTAAATATAACACTTGTTGTAAATAAAACACTAAATGCGTAACTAATTATGCGATAAGCCAAAGATATAGTTTAAAAATAGTCAATCTTTTGAGTCAAAAAATTTCGAAAAAAAGAAAAATTACCTGAAAAATTGTTTCCTGTTTGAAATTGTTTTAAAACAAATGCATTCAGGGATACAAATATAAAAAATTGCAACAATACATTTTTAACTCATGTAAAAAAATTGCATGATTGATTGCAGAATATCCTTTTAAAAGGACATAAAATACCTTGCAAAACTAATTAAAACATCATCAACTCTGCAAAAATTATTATTTGTGAGCCAAATTAAACCTAATTTGGTAAGGAAATACATCTCAAAAGCATCTAAGTTGAATTTATAAACTGACCAAAAGTGTGATTTAATAATGCGTAAATAGTTTAAAAAATTTTCATACAAACATTATTTCAATTTAAAAATTTAAAAAATGTGTATATAAATCGAATGAAATTGAATTTAACTTAGAGCTACTTCAGGTTACACTTTAAATGTCAAGCAAGATTTTATTACTAACCCGTTCTGAGCAAATAGAGAGTAGCACGATTTTCTTGATTAAAAAAAAACTCTTTTCAACAACCTAATATTTCTTAAATATTTCTTTGTTAATCCATAAATTCTGTAATTACCCAAAATAATTTTAAAAAATTATTTTTTTAAGATTTCTAATGACAAGATAAAAAGACAACTTCAAAAAATAAATATGAAGAAATACAAGGAAGAAGAACGCTTGGTAAATGCTCGGCAAAGGATGATATGGTCACCATCCATAAACCACCCTAGAAAACAGACACTGAAGATAAGACTTGGGACTATGTGGAAACAGAGCAAACGTTTCGGCAAGCAGTCATAGCCAGTAGCGAGGTTATAACATTCGACATTTGATATAACATTTTGAGTCTAGATATAATTTGTCTTTCCAAGAGCTTTGAATTGTTTTAAGAGCAAACTCCTCAGATGTAGAATTTATGATTAATATTTTTATTGTTCTAAACGATATACTGGAAGAAGATATTTGTAAACTCAAGGCATCTTTTTGACCACTTAATCGCCAATATAATAGCCATTGACTTTATAATGCTCAGGGATTCACCGCAAAACAATGATCTTTTCGCTGTCAGATAAGCTTTGTACATTCTTCAACATCTAAGGCCCAAAAACGACAAAGAACTAGAGGTTGATATCAGTGATTGTAATGCGGCCCGGAAGTCACTTTTGAGAATTTATTCAAGTGGCAGGTCAGCTGTGACAAAACAATCGGGATTGTGAGCGTTTATCCATCAAATGCAGTTGTAAACTCTCCAGCTGTACTTTCAAATGAAAAAAAGGTACAGTGGAGTCATGCTCCAACATTGAGTCCTTCTATCAACCGGGAATCAGCAGTGTAAAGTTGTAGCCTATCTGGGTATGAATAAAAAGTGCTTACACAGAATAAATAAGAGTTCGTGCAAAATTTCTTCCTGTAAGCATATTGAAGATGTACTTAATAATTTACTGTATTGATTTTTATTTCGCATTTATACGTATCTATAAATAATTTTTTGAAATTACTTAATGTAAAATTCAGTTTATGGATGTTTTCAAAGTTTCTTCTTTTCACATTGATTTTTTAAATACATGTCGGTGCCATGAGTTATATATTATTCATGGAAATATTCTTTTGGCATTTTATCGACCAATTATCAAAGTATAATATTTAATGCTCGATTTTTTTTAATGTTGACAAATAGATAAAATTATATTTTCCTCTTAAATTCAGTTGTTATGGAAATAAAAATAGGAATTAAATTTCATTATTCCATTTGAAACTATTTGAGAACAAATGTAATTTGTGTTAGAAAGTATGGAAAAAGATCTTCATAAGATTGTTACCATGGGCACAAGAAAAATTTATGTTAGTAATTGTACTTTTAGGAATTTACAATTCAAAAACAGAAAGAGTAAACAAAAGAAATATTTCAGTTTTAAAGCACTGGTCTCAAAAAATTAGGCCTAATGAGGAACTTGAGAAAATTTGAAGCATTAATATTGTAACGAATAGAAGGAACAGAAAATGCCTTCCAGTAAATACCAAATGCATTCAAAATTAGCTTCCTCTCACGTATTTTTGTTATAAAAAAAGGCACTTTTGAACATAGAACAAAGCACAGAAAAATTGACATCCATTTTAATCGTTTTATAAAGCAAAATTTTAAAGTGTTTGGGTCTAGTAAGTTTACCCGTTAAAGGGATAGTAAAATAAAATATATCGTTGACTTCTAAGAATGTTTAGGAATAGTTTTCAACCCAACAAAAAAGAATTAGCTCAATTAAACGATAAAAAATATCCATATATCTGTCTTATAAAAGTCAATCTCTGAAAAAAATTAATTCAAGTTTGTACTATGGTCTAAAGTAGCATTAAATAAATTATAGAGAGTTAATATAGAGTTATAGTCATGGTTTCTAATATCCATACAAGAAAATGGTCACAGCACTGTTTGTTTACTGATTCTACGTCCAGCCCTCTAATTTAGCTGGTTGACATTTTGAATGTTTTACTTCGATAGCTAAGTAGAACACTGCTCACTAAGTACAATCGTACGTGCACTCACTACGTTCAGGTTATTTATTCTTTATAATTCGTCCTAAACCTAGTTACCCTAGCCACTCGTAATTTCTCGGTATATTCTATGCCAGAGATACCTGCGGCCTTTCTGAGCGTCTTGTGTAACCTCTAGCTCTTGTATTTAATCATATAAATAACGACAATTTCAATATCATGAGAATTAAATTACGTGTTGAGTTGACATGAGTTAACTGAGTTACGCTATGAGTATAACATGAATTAGAATGCTACAGTGTAGCAGGTCTAACGATCAGAAATTATTAAAATTCTGGTACACTTTTCAATTTGTCAATGTCCAACAATAAAAGCTATTCTGTTTTGTTCGTATTTTTGAATTAAGCACACTTTTACTTGAAATTTACTAACCATTTTTCTATAAAAATCACCATCCACCAGGTAATGGTATCGATGGTATTTCTAAGAGACAGGCAATACCTACTTTTTTTTCCTTCTGACGGTAACTTTTAGCATTTCCTAATATGCTACAGAGTTGGAGATTTGTAGTTAGGTGTACATGCTTGTAACAGTTTCGTTTCGTGTTGCTATTGATCATTGTGAAAATCTAGTTTTATTTTTACTAATTATGATATGTTACTAATTACTTAATACAAGATTTTATTGTATTATTAAATCTAATCTTTATTAAATCTATACTTTGATCTACGATTTTTCTCCAAGAACAGAATATTGATTGAAGAGAAAAGAACATTTAATGTAGAGTGGGAGTTAGATTATTTATATTAGTAAAATAAAATATTGTGTGTTTATTTTGCAACTGTTTTGACTACTTTGAAATACGCGAAAGCAAATAAACAATATTCGATTCATAACTAGCATAAATACTTCAATTTCAATGGTAAATCTCAACAAGAAGTATTCATTGAAAAATACTTTTAATTATTTTAATTCGAAAGAATATTTAAAGAAAGGTAGTTTTTATTTAAAAATTCTTTAAATATTAACGCTATAATAAGTTATTTACCTTATGTGAAAAATTTTTACATTGTGAATTTATATTTTAATAAATGACTTAATGATTTTTTTCTTTATTTCTATATCATTCAATACAGTGCAAACGTCATGCAAAAACTATAGTAATTTCTCCGAAGTTGTCCATATAGTTATAAAATATTTTTTTTCGGGATATTTTATCACCGCTTAATTTAAATGTGATCTCTCATGGTAAAAAGGTTCCTCAGATATTCTACTCTATAGACTAATGAAATGAAAACCTCTCTGAAATTGTGGAAATTTGATGACGTTATATTCACCAACTTTATCCATGCTGACAACTAAAACTACTGATTAACAACTGCCATGGAAATAACAGATTAATTCATGATTCACGTTCGCATACATAAGGCTAAGTGCTACGCTATATAGTTAGCACCATATATCAGTGATCCCACTCGATGTTTAGGTCATTCAGTTTAAAAAATCATCAGAAATCTGGAAATTTCCAGGTCGACAGTGTATAGAGTATGCCGAAATAAGTGAGAAATAACGCATTTTTATAAAAGTTCATTCGCATATTTTCTTTGCTATTTTCATTAAGAAATGTTCCAAAATATAATTTTTGAGATTTAAATTTTAATGATACATTTAAGTTTCCCTATAATAAAGAACTATGTGTTTAAGATGCAAATATATTTCTTTATTTTGCAAATTAGTAATACAGTTTAGACATTATAGTTTATAGTATGGTTTCTGACTATACCGTGGTATGTGCTGAGTAAATGAACTACATAATGAAAATTAGCAAATTATGCATTTAATAAATGCTAGATGGAGTACCCCAAAGATAAATTAACTGCTCTTTTTTATTATGTATTATCCATCTTTGAATAAGGAAAAAATAATTCCTGTTGATCATCGTAAATATTTACCCGACCCTCCATTGTATTTTTTTTAACTGTGCATTCACCAATAGTGCCAATTTTTCCCGGGAAAAGTTGTTTAACACCCATTTCAAGAACTATGTTTTCGCATTTTAAAACCTTCATAACTTTTGATAAGCTCGCATAACATAAAATATCATTGCAGTTTGATCAAACATCAGAGTAGTAAACTAAAAAGTTATTGATTATAGCTTAAAATAAATAGCTTATTATTTTTAGCTATAATCAATAATTTCTGATAACTCACGCGAAGTGAGACATTTTGAGAACAATAAAATGCCTTAAAAATATATAAATCAGCCCCTCTATATGAAGTCATAAACAGCATGCAAAGTGATTGATTTTTCTGGTTTTAAACCGATAACTACAAGCGATAAGGACACAAACTCAAATTGCCACGTTTCTTACACTAGTCATTTTAACCACTAAAATTTGTATTTTTCCAAATAAAAAAGTAGATAGTGACGCATATTTTCCATATGGGAAAGTTTTCTAATTCACTTTAATTTTCAAATTGGCTGAGGTAGTACGACAGCTTGTGTCATCTTTTTGCTATGATGCTATTGCCACATTGGTGGAAGAACTGTGTTCTTGTAATTTTTAATGATAAGTAAAATTCATGTCTTTATAAATACTTAAAATATGTTTTCTAGTGTTAAACTTATGCTTGGAAACACTTAAAAAGTATTTCTTTCTTCGGGTAATGATTCCTTTGCTTTACAGACATATGAATATCTAAATTCAGTTTCACTTTTGTTTTGCGCAACTATTACTCCGGATAGTGTAAAAGTTCCAATAAGGTAAAAATATCACGTTTTTTTAAACATCATTCGTGACACTTATATCAAAACACGTCTTTTCGGAAAACAGGTCTGTCATATAATGAAGTTAGCCCTATAACTATGTAAGAAAAAATGCCCAAGTCTGCTTTTCTGGACAATCATGATTCTCATTCAAATAGAAGTATCGGGCTATTTACTCAAGGCCAGCTTTATTTTGTTGCTATTCCTCCTCACCTGCCCACATAAGTTACAACCACTTGGATCACCTAATGGGTCCTTCAAAAACCAAATTAACATGGCTTATGTTGCATAGGTAGGCACATTTAAATGACCTATAAAAATCCATACTATTTCATCTTGAGATACTTCACTAGCGTTTACACCAGTCAATATTATGGTGTATTCTAAAGTTTCAGGGTTTATCCCACGTAATCCTGGAATATTGGGATTCGAATTTGATACTATTTCACTTCATGTGAGTGTGAAATTAGACTTTCTGAGAAAGAGGCTCCAAAGATGCAAACATGGAGCGAAAATTTAAAAAAAAACGTAGTCTTCAACAGTAACAGATACTCCAGTTAAAAAAATCTACTAAAAATGAAAGATAATTTATCTGAAAAAAACTATCACATAAAAGAGATGAGAAAAATAACAAAAACCAATATCGGTCAGGAATCAGTTAGAACTTTCAAATTCAAATTTAAAGATAGAAATTCCAAAAAAAATCGTAAAAAAAAAATCATAAGCAATCCTAAAAAAACAACATAAAAAAGATTACATTTAAGTGATGAAGATTGTTTACGCATTTAATGTTTTTAAGCTTACACTAAATATAAGGCAAACAAAGCACAAAATTCACAAATTGGACGCATGAAGACTGTACCAAAAGTATCGTTTAAATTTTTGAATGCATTAACTATGATACAGGCAATGATAAATTTTGCAAAAAAATCTTTGTATATATATATATATATATATATATATATATGTATATACTNTTAACACATTTAATCAGCAATATATATATATATATATATATATATAACAATTGAAAGGAAATATATTTAAGAACTAATTTTAGTGAGCATAGTACTGGTTCTGGTCAATACCTTCATTTTTATTTGAGATGTTAGGTATTCTTCTGTTGCTGGAGGTGATATTCGGCTCCAGTGGTTTGTGTCTGCTGTTGTATACGTTGTATAGGATTCTTCTTCTCCTGGTTTCATCTTTTCACTGAATACAACAACATCTAGATAGTAGCAAGATTTTTCATTAAAAAAATAATCACTATTTATTCCTTTCAATAAATTTAAATGAAACTCTGCTATAAAAATAAATTTTATGTTTAAGAACACTACAGACAGCAAAAGAAGTTTTGTTTTAAACTTGTATTTTTTGTCCTTATAAAGTACTACTAATTTCCTCAGTCATGAATGATGTGTGGATAAATTTTTATTGACGTCTATATTGTATTAAAGTTTACATTTTACTGCACATTTAATATTATGACTTACATTAACTGTACAATATAGATACCTGAATGCAGCACAAGTACTTTTTAAAGAACTAGAAGGCTCTAACCACTGCTCGCTTTGCTTATCAACCCCAGAAACTGTGATTAATTTTGGTGCAAAAAGGTCGATGCTTATTGAGAATCAATAAATAATAATTTTGTTAGTAAAGTACATAATTATCTTAATGTTTTGAAAGATTATTTCCATTAACGTGTTCATTGTAACGACGTGAATGATTATTTGTAGTTTAAAAACAACTAACATAGCATAAAAAATAGAAACTTAGAAAACCAAGACGGAACAAATTTACTTGTTAAAGCCACATAAAGATAACATTAATATAAATATGTCCTATTATCAATGCAAGTAGGAAATGATTCGTATCCCGATTCAATGAAGCATATATTTTTAAAGATTTTAATCGGGATGTGTTGCCCAGTGGTTAGTTAGAGAATCAGACTCCCGTCCTGAGGGTCCGGGATTTAATCCCAGAATCAGTTGAAACCTACCGAGTGCATTCGATATACGTGCTAATAAAATCTCTGGAAAATAAATCTGTAAAATCAAAAATCGTTTGGTCCGTCGATTACCAGTACCATGGATAAAGTGATTAGGAGAAAATTTTCTTCTCCTTTAGATCTATGCATAAATTGAGAAAGTTGCTTCACAAATTGTGATGGCATGTCTTTGGATCATCCTCAGGGATGTTTTCCAGATCATCACTAATAGTCTATTCTGCAACTCTAATGCAAAGGCAAAAAAGAGAGTACCAAACTACCTTTGAAACTTCAACAAAAATGTTAGGTTATTATATGTTGTAATATCTAATATCTCTCTCTCTCTCTCCATACATTTTAACTTTCAACCTTAACTATCAAGTTTATAAAATGAAGATCTCGAGAAAAATGAAATAAATATTCTTCCACAAGGGATCAATAGTTATTATCTGAAGCAAATAAAGCAAAAATTATCGGGTATAAAACATTTAAAACATATAATTTTCAATCAAAATAAAATTTCAGGTAAACTTGGCGTTAAGTTCATATACAAAAATTCTTCGTTTTTAGACAAATATCACCTGTTTAGTTGCTTTCATGCAAACTACAGAGTGGCCCGCAGGTTTTTTTTCCGCAATTTTAACAGTAATAAAATTTTTCAGCTTATTTCTGAATGTTAAATTTTTTAACGATTTATTAATAATTAGTTAAAATCAATTTTCTAAATGTGTACAAAGTGTATTAAAATAAAATAATCTAGTAAAAATAATCTAAACATCTAGTAAAAATAAATTTTCTAAATGTATACAAAGTGCATTAAAATAAAATAATCTAGTAAAAATAATCTAAACATCTAGTAAAAATAAATTTTGCAAAAATAATTTAAAAGTATTTGCATTTAAAATATAAAGACAGAAGTATGCACACCCTGAGTGTTGCTTTAAAAACTTAATGAGGCTTAATGAAAATGTATTTAATGAGGTAGAGCAATTATATTTCATATACAATAATTAGATAATTAGCGGGTAACTACTGAATATCAGGGCTAAAGAGTATAGAAGGGCTGGTTCACTCCTTTGAAGTATCTCTCGCCGCGCCGATCCTCCGACGTCACTCTAGTGACGTCACTTTGGCGCAAAGCTCGCACTTTTACATCAAGAACGGAGCGTTCGGCCTAACTAGCTCTAACTAATATTGGATCATTTCTTTTTGCGAGATATTCTAAGACATTTGTTATTTTCTATAATGACTTTCCTCAGTTTTTGCAGTGAATTTACAAGAATTTAAAACTATTATCGAAATGCCAGTTTGCGCGATTGCAACTTGCAAAAATTCTGATATAAAAACAAAAGGAAAAAGTATAATTTTTCGCGTGTTCCCTAAAGTAAATGAACAACTATGTAAAGAATGGATTCCGAAATGACACAGTTAATATAAAACAGCAATACGTTTATTCTGTCGTAAAGAACTTTTATAAAAATTCATTATCTAAATAGAAACCGCCTCGTTACTTCATAAAGAAAGGCAGGTGAAAAGAATTAAAAAATAGATAAAGTCAAAGAAAATTAAAATGTAAGTAAAAAGTATAAATAAAATATATAGTATATAGTTGAAATTCTCCTAATTTCATAACATATTTTTTAATGTAGTTATTCTAAATATTTATGATTTTTTTTAAAAATTATATTCTCTTCAATTTAAATATCTATATATTATATCATCGTAAATTTAAATGTCTATAAACAATTGTAAAATTTCTAATGTCATTATGAACCTAAATTATTATTTTGTTTCAGTAATTAGCGTTTAAGGTTGATGTTTCCTAATGATTAAGTATGAACAAATTGCTATTAACGACATATTTTAAAATCAGGGATTCTAAATTTAACTTAACTTATCTTTATAAAAGAATATGTAGATAAAAAAAGTGTCGATATATGCCTTCATTTTTCTTAATAGTTAAAGTTAAAACTGAACTTTTTAAAATAAAGTATTTATCGTGTCATTTTCACCAACTAGCAAAACATTTTTATAAGTTTAAAATGGTATTTTTTTAATATAATAACCAAGAAAGTTTTTTTTGAACTATGTTTATGAACGGAAATAATGTGTTAATTACGTAAAGTTTGAAGGCTAATAACCAGAAAAAGTCTAACTTATTTTTACAAAGAGAAAGATGCAAAGTTATCATAATATCTTTGCTTGCGATCTCCGAGATCTGTGGACACAGTGACGTCATGAGGAGGGAAATCGTAGCTTCAGCTCTAAGAGCGGAGTGAACTAGCCCTTCTATTCTCTTTAGCCCTGACTGAATATAGCTTTCTAAGCTGTTTACAAAGAAAAACTAAAAAGGGTTCGTAAGCTAATATTTCGGTTATATCGCTTTCAACTGCATGTTTATATGAAATATTATTACCGAAAATATATACCCTGGATGCTGTTTAGAAAACATATATAGATAACTAAAAAAATTCAAAAAACTAAACGATTCACTTAGTTAAATTAATTAGTTAATTAATTTATTAATTGAATTAGTTAATTAATTGAGTTAGTTAATTAATTGAATTAGTTAATTAATTGAATTAGTTAATTAATTGAATTAGTTTATTAAAATTAGTTAAAGTAAATTTTCTAATTGTATACGAAGTGCATAAAAATATATTAACCTTGTAAAATGTATTCAACACTTTTAGATTTAAGCTTATTTGTATTAAAAATATACAGGCAGAGAGATGCACACACTGAATATTGTGTCACGCCGTTGCCTCGTTACAATTCTCGTGTTCAAACTTGTTAATCTTTTGTCTCGAATCAATCGAATTGCGATGGTCAGTTGAACTTTTAACTTTCTGGAAATTTGTCAAAAAATTATGTTTGATTTGTCGACCTTCGGATGCATGATAAGACCACGAGACCCCTTGAAATAAAATTTATAAATATACTCCGTAAAAAGAGAAAATACGGAGAATACAGAGAATTCAGTCCGATTGCAAGCAAGACTCTCAATACGAGCAGCTATTGGTAAGTGTGGTCTCCTCCTTATATAATAATAGTATAATGATTAAGTAATAAACAAAATATAATTATAAGTTTTAATTTGGATTCTTTAATTAAAAACAATACCAGTCACAGTTGTTTCAAAAACTAGATAATATATTCAATGAGGCAGAACAATTTCTTTTTGTAAACAATAGTTTGTGAACTAGCTAGTAATATGCTTTTTTAGTCTTTCGCAACATGCATAAAAACGAAACTAAAAAGGGTTCATATTGTAATCACTTTCAATCGCGTGTTCATACAAAATATAATTATCAGGAATATATATATATATATATTTGTACAATGGGTTTTGCTCGGAAAGCAGATAGAGGAGAGCATAGGAGAAATTTGCTTTCTCCTTAATCAAAGAAAGCTATTTATAAGCACTTCAGATAAAAGGTTTTCAATAGCTCACCTGGGATATTCTCCCTTATCTTCTCTTCTTCTCTTCCAGAATAGTTGCATCCTTCCGAACAGTTATCTCCAGACTTCTCGGAGCTAGGAATCGACCTGCAAGTGAATAATTAAGCTGTTTTCAACTCTGATCATTCAGCATTATAGGCTTGAATGAAACACAATTTAGAATTAATCTCCCGTAACAAGATTTGTAAATGTTGCGCCTGTTTAAATTTAACCAATAGTTCAGAAGCGAATAATAATGGTTCCTGGGAGTTGTTTTAAATAAGAAGAGGCATGTTTACTGACTAATCTGATTCAAGTAAGAATTACTCATACGTAATTTCTCTTAAATACTACTTGTGAAAGCTAATGTATCATAATTATTCTTAGTGTCGCTTTTTTACGTCATATAAATTATTAGAAGATTCAAATTATTAGAAGAGGCATTTTTACTAGCAAATATTATCCGTGATAAAATTATTTATCAGCTCAATTTAGGAAGTGCTATTTTATACTGTAGTTTTATTCATATTGCTGATTTCAAAATTAAATTAATTATTAAAAGATAAAAAATATTAGAAGAGTTGAGTACAGGGAACATTTATTAACATTTATTATTTAAATTGGGATTATTTCTCTTAGGAAATTAGAAATAAGAAAGCTTAAGGACCAAAATTATTCTATACTTGATATGAAATTTATTTAAAATTTATTTTCATTTTTTAATAAAATTATAAAGTTAATTCACACAACTTTAAGATTAGTTTCGATGTGTGAAGGAGATAAAAAAATAAAAAAATTTAAGAAAAGAACGATGTGCTTCAATTAAGTGCTTTGCCTCATATTTACAGCTTTTTGCTTAAAATTATGCAAAAAAAGTGTCATCAAATGCAAGAAATAAAGATTCGAAATATCTGTATTTTTTTTTTATTATTATAATTTGTATCAGAACTTATATTTATAGCATATATGCATTAAAGCATGCTTTAAAATAAATCTCGAAACTGATAAAACACTCCAATTGCGTTCATTTAAAATCACAAACGTACACAAATTTACCAAATACGAGTTAAATTTTATAGATTAGGCTTTATCAAATGCAATCAAATACAATCTTTGAGTTGAATTTGCAGAAAAAATTATAGGCAATTCATAAAAATAAATATGTAACCACTAATTCAACCTACGTTTAAAATATATCTCCAATCTATTGATAACTATTAAAATAATCCACTTATGTTTATTTAAATTAAAGTAAAGCAAAATCTACCAAACATGATTTTTTAACTTTACTATTTAAATTTCCAACTAATACAAATATTATTATTTATTTAATTTCGAAATATACTTCACAGACAGCAAATATAACTATACAAAATACAAAAGCAAAAAATACAAAAGCAAAAATTTTTAAAAACAAGTCCGTAACTTCTTTTAAAAAAGTATTATCTTTATGCCAGTTCTTTTTTTTTATATATATATAACCCCGAACACAGAAAAACACTTCAGCAAGTTTGAAAGTTGTAGTAAAAAAATCATATCGTTCCATCGATTATCCTTTCTTTTTAATACATTGTAGTAAAGAAAGGCTTTGATCCCACCAACAATAAAACAGTCTGTCAAGAAAAGGTAAAGTCACTCTGCACCAAAATTTAATTGCTTTTTTGAGAGGATGAGACAGATACTTCCTTTACAACAACTCATGACAGAAAATCCATTAAAACCACGTCAACCACTCTCTGGGGCAACATTAAATATTAGACGTAAGAAAAACAACAAGACCCAGAGTTTTTCTGGCACTGATAAATAATTGAACAAAAATTTATAAACCTCGTAATTTATTACTTTTAATTCCTTGACTGCTGTATTAATCTCATACGATGAAAAATTTTAAGCTTAGTTTTTTCTGTCTTACAAAAACAGATTGCTGGTAGGTTTTTTTGCTCACTTTTTTTTGTATGAAGCCATTGCTTTTGTTTGGAGCTTAAATATGAGCAAATATCCGTATTTCTTTCCCTTGAAACATTATTTATTACAATAAAACGTGCTAATAATCTGCAAATAAAATAAAAGCCATATTTTTTAAATTCATAATTTCATTATTAACTTCAAATTGCGATTTTTTAGCAGAAAAAACCCCATCAAATATTACAGAAGATTTTCTTTCTTGCATTTTTATTATGCTTACTTTATAAAAATTCAGAGTGAAGCTAAATTATGTAAAATAAAAAATGATTATTTGTTCGTGACAGTTTTTTTTCTTTTTGCTTTTATGAGTCTTAAAACAGCATAATTGAAACATGCATACTCCACCACGAGATCAGACTCGAATCTAGTAAGGTTAAATTTGTGTAAAATATTTTTTAAAAATGGAAGTAGAAAAATGGAAAATGTGTTTAGAAATAAAAATAGCAAAAAAAAATTAAAAAAAGACAAACAAGAAACTTCACTATCTAATTCCTGCATAAGATTTTTTTTAATATATCATAAAATTTTCGCTTTTATACATATGCCAATTTTTTGTTTTGTCCAAATGGACTTAAAATTTGTGAATTTTTTTGACAATTTGAATGCTTCTTTATTTTAAATAAATGTTATTAAATCTTATAACACATGGATGCAATTATTAATGCTACAAATATTGATATCTAATATAGAGCAATCGTTGAAATTGAAAACACATTAACGTACTCTAATGCTTCTCGGATAAACAGAATGTGTTTTTAAAAAAGTACTTGAGAAGAAATCGTGAAATTTGTCTTTCCTTTTGTAAGATTTTCAATGGAACTGAAAATTCAATGTATAGCATAGAAATACGACATGCATACGATAGTAATGAAACTAGCGTTTAGGATTCTCTGTGGTAAAAAAGTACTAAACGCACAACCTATGTAAAGTAATGAACATCCACATCATCTTTTTTGCTAGTTAGGGTTCTATCTCCTCACGGCCATGAAAGGAATGATACTCAATTTTGTCTCTGGGTAGATGATATGGATATCGCCTGATCTTATACCCCCTTCCTTAAAATTCCACAAAGCACAAACGATATAATATCGATCCACGAAATATTTAACTTCAAATTTATCATGCTAACTTTTTCCGCCCTAAATCTCACAAATGTAATATTTTACCTTATTGATGAAAATATTAAATCATGTTAAGTAATGTTTAAGATTTTTATAAGTTACAAAAAAATCGGTTTTAATTTCTATAAAGGTGAAATATAATTATTAGTTTTTCATGAGAAAAAAATAGTGGTACTTACTTTTCGTTGCCTGATGATGAAGATGCATCTAAAAAAAATATATTTTTTAAAAATAACTTTTTAAAAATAACTTTTTAAAAATATTCGTATATAAATTCATTTAAAATATATTACACATTTTCAAATTATTCATTTATTTATTATGCACACATAAAAAAAAATGTGATACTGACCAAAAATAAAAGCTTTTAGGTGCAAGATATTTATTACTGAAAAAAAAAAAAACTACGGATAAGAAACGAGAAGAATGGCAAAAAGAAACTGTTTCTTCCTTGTTAATTTTTTTGCACTTTGGTTAAACTTTCAATATTAGGTAACTTCTTTTAGCCTAATACAAGAAAACTTTTATCCAGAAAGGTTGGAACAAAAGGTTTCACTTTAGCTTATTCTCTTTTAGGAGGCTCCGTTAATTTGTTTTTCTTTTTATCTATTGTTTATGCGAAATTTCTTGCTATAAAACAAATTTTCACAGAGAAAAAATTAATTTCTAACGCAAAAAAATCAATTAGTACAAAAGTTTAATTAATTAAAGCTTTTCAACTTTTGAGGTTTAGCAACTTTCATTGTACAAGTTATTTTTTTATTCTTTCTTTATTTTGATTTTTTAAATACCTTGCAGGCACGGTTTTGTTTTAAATCATCTTCACTTACCCGTTCTTTTTTTAATATTTTTAACCAGTATAAGAATAAAGTCAGATGTAGTTAAAAATATTATTCTCATGAGAAATCAGAGTCTAATTTGAAATAAAGCCAAAAATACAATAAAAGAAATACTGAAAGAACATAAAAAGCGTAATTTGTTAGAACAACGTAAAATGCTTCATTTCTTAAAATTTGAATACGCCCCCTTTTCTTAAATTTGCGCTAAGGTACAGAACATTATCCATCTCATTTACATAGTTGTTATAATTACTGATACATTGTATGAGACTGTAGCACACAAGTAATGATGAAAGTAAATCTCTAGTGATTTGCTAATTATTCGTTCTTTATGCGATGATATTTACTTTAAATCTTAAAGGCTTCACTGCACAACATAATTACATTGTTACAAGAAATAACATTCGGGAAGTAATGAATTTTATTGAAAACAAAATATAAAATTACATTATTTAAACATGAACAATGAAACATATTATGCAAAAGTGCAAGTAATTCGCAATACTTCAAAAATTATTTGCAAATAAAAAATAAAAAATAAATATGATATTTCGAAACAGAATGAGTAATTTTATATTTGTTTCAGAAAAATGAATTGTTTGTCTATTTTAAAAATACACTCCCGAATTCATTTAAATCCATAACTGTTAGCTTAAAATTTATTCCATAAAGATAAGTTTATATAACGACATGAAAATAACTCACACTATTATTAATTAGATTTAGTTTCATTAGTTATAGAATGTATTTTTAAAAGTTAATGAACATTTTTCAGAATTATATTATTTAAGCTACAAAGAATAATGATGAAATATAGTGTAAAGTTTAAAATAAAATAAAAATACAATTTTCAATTGTTAACTAAAACTTACTATACTATAAAAGGGAGAATTTCAAGACTATGATTTCTAGCATATTTTGTGTTAAGCATTTTAAACAAATTTCATTATGTGCAATAAGAAAAAGATTCTAAAACCAAACGAGTTCACAGAAATTATTTGCGTAAGAAATGATTTATTTTATAGATATTACACTAATCTTGTACCTTCTTATTCATTAACTTATTTAATAAACTGGTAAATCAGTGTGAATCAATATCTAAGAGAGATAAAATGTTTTTATAGCATACACTTTTAAATATAAAAAAATGCAAATGCAGAAATGCACAAAATTGCGAAAAGTGAAGATTTATATTAGGAGAAAATCTGGAAAAATTACATTACTGTATGGTATTGACATTTCGTAAATATAAGTTTGGTTGATAAAATCGAAATATATGGTATTTAAAACATTTATTTGGTAGTCTTTCTTTATTTGTTGTAACGGTTAATGAAAAATTCATATTTTTAAAATTATAGTTCTCATTAGCACATATGTAGCAAAAAAAAAAGAAAACTGAAAATTAAATTCAACTGCATAATTTTTCTGATATGCTGTAAGGTGTCATTACCAAATTTTACCATTTATCAAATTAAATCATATATCATAAAACTATATTTTATTTTTAACTTTACCAAACTCATTACTTACAATTTAACATTATTTTGAGGTCTTTTACTATTTAAAAATCAAATGCTGTAAGAAATAATACTACAAGAAATTTTCAAATAATAAAATAATTCTCAATTCTCAAAACTTTTTGTGTTATTTTTTTACTTAACATAAAAAGAAATAAATCTGTTTGATTTTTTAAACACAATCAGTACCAGAGATTGGTCCATATATTAAAATTTTCGTAAATGTTATCGAATTAATTTTATACGTAACTCATAAAATACTTCTTTTTTATAAATTAACATTCTTTTCTCTTTAAAATAGAGAACAGAAACTCGATACATAGAACAAGAACAAAAGAGCTTTCATGTTAAAAGAAATACTAAAATTTATTTGTTAATATGTTTCTTTGATAATTTAATTATCAAAGTATCTGATTAGTGGAAATGTTTAGTTAGAAAAACTCCCAAAGATATAAATTTATTCACAAATGTATTCATTTGACTAGTTTTTAATATAATTTTCTGATAAGCTTCATAAAAGTTGTAATTCTCTAAAAACATCGTAAATCAAACGGTATTTAATAAGGTTTCAATACCTAAATAAAATAACAAAAGTACAATGATGTTACTCACAATTTCAATGTAATTGTTATTTAAATACTTCAATTGTATTCTTTGAATATAAAATATCAAATGCATGTAAAGAAAAACAAAAATATAACTTAAGGTGAAAAAATATAAAATTTAATAAAGGGGAAATGCAATAACTAAAACTGAATGTCCAAACTGGCTAGTATATTAAAACTTTATTCAGAACAATGTAATAGTCTGATATATTTTGTTTATATTATTTCAAGAATTAAGTTGTTGACCTTTTTCCTCCTTAACTTTCTCAGGCATTATTTCGATTTTTTTTTTTTTCATTTTCATCAAACATCCTAATAATTATTATCACCCAATGCAATTCATTTTTCAACTAAATGATCTTAAATTGAATGAATTTTTATTAACTCTCTCTTTTTTTTCAGGATAAAATTAATTATCGGACAGAATTGGATTCCAAATAGTTTTTTTCGAAAAAAAATGTTTTCACGTCTCTTGAAAGAAATGAAAATGTCCTAAGGTAAGAAACAAAACGTTGGAAAAAAATCCGTTCTGAACATCGGATCATTAATTTTTCTTCGTTTGAATCACTTTCAAAACGGGTTGATTACGGTTCGTTCGTTTTTTTCTTACTTTTTTTTGTATCGTACATTTTTTTCCAACATCATTGCTCTGAAGGAACAAAATTCCCTCTCTCCAATTTTTTTTTCATGGGTAAAGAGATTGGATTTGGAGCATGAGTGATTTCACTTGACATAAGCGGACAGTTTCTACTTAGTGCAAGTAAAAATACAATAATATAAATGATTAAAAAAATGGATAGGATTACTTTAATTGAAATAACGAACACGTTTTGAAAAAACTATTTCAAGAAATCTTTGGGAAGGGGTTCTTAGATTTATTTTGCATTAATTACATGTTATGAGTTGGGAAATTCACGCATCATTAAAATTGTCTGCAAACTATCTGCTTTAGTCGGAGAAATTTTTTTATCATTATTATTAATCGGGGATTTTTAAATTAAATTATTTTTGAATTAAAGCTGATTTTAATTTCTTTTTTTAAACAAATCAATTTTAATTATTGCACTTATTGTTTCCTTTATCTTTATTGACCCATGAGATATGTTCAAATTATCTTAATGTTTAATAAAAATATCAATACTACACGGAGGAAAATATTCTGGTAAAATTGATCTACTGTATGTACTGTATTATTTGTACCGTATTTTATGAACTGCACTACAATTCTTGAAATAAAAACCAAAACATAAGCTATTTAAGCCGTTAATTTGGTAATTTCTCCGTTCGTATTGTAATGGTTTACATTAACTTTTGTTTTTCAAAATTCCAGTTCTTTTTACCTCACATTTAACAAAAATTATAAATTAAAATTTAAATTTAACCAAATAAATGGTATTTATGCCATTCTGTGAAGTACAGTAATAAAATCATCTAATTTTAGCACATTTACCGAATTTTATCACAGGTTTCAAAGCTGTAGTTAATTCTTACTATTACCAAAATTATTGAGCTTTTTCGTGTTTCATCAAATCAAATTTTACCATAATCTAGTAATTTTGTCCATACTTTTTTCTCAGTGTAATGTTGATTTTGATAACCCCCGTTTGACATAATAATTAGAATGAGAAACAGGGATGCATATTCTTTTAATTTTTAGACATCAAACATTCTTGAATTTGCGAAGCTCTGCGTTGCTAGACATCATCGCGTTAAATTTTGCTTCCGATGTAAAATTTTTAGAAATTATTGAGAGATTTTGCAAAGTTATTTGTGTTGTCCACCTTACTGTCCTTTCCTATATCTAGTTAGGCAAAACCTACATCCACTTAAGCAGGTATGAACAGTAAATTGATATTTTTCCGATCAGAGTACAACAGAGACTGAAAAACTCCTTATTTAAGCAAGAATTTTCTTTATTAGTTTGTACTGGGTGTTCCGTTAATACAAATTTGTGAATCCTTCTCATAAGAGAAGGAAAAATGTATGCACATTAGCAGGTTTCTTCAAATATATGTATAACGAGGAAAACACAATTGGGTTAATTAAATATTGCAAATCACAGCCACGGAAAGTAGCCAGTATTCAGCAATCCTTGACCTGTATTTTGTTAATTTTGAGAATCATTTCGTAACAATATCATGTGATTTGTAACAGAACGAGAGTTCTCAAATATGTGACGAAAATGCTTGAGAACCTCCGAGCTTCATCGTAGTGCATTGTGGGAGATTATTAACGGGAATGACGAAACTTGAATTAAGAACAGATGATCGAAACTAAAATGAGGAAATATTTCTTTACGGCGTTACAGCTACGTTGCGAAATACGTTTTTTAGAAGAAGAGACGATAGTTATTTCGTCACTTTGACTAAATAATCACTCGGAGCATATATCAGAACAAACAGTTTCGTCAAAAATGGAAAACGTTTCTTGAAATTTGAGTATTCATTTTTTGCGGTGTTTGTTTACTCTTCCTAAATTCTTTTGATTTTACAGTTCTTTTTTTTTGAATAATTAGTTTCAGACGTTAGTTTGTTTACAAGTTATTTTATTTCTGACAAGGTTTCTAAAAATATATAGATTTAGGACATTCTTTAAGAAACACTTACCTATTTTCTACTCAATATTTGATCCACCATGATTAATACTATACTTTTTAAAAGTAGGAGTTTGATTTTCTTTTTACTTTTAACGAGTTTTTCAAAACATTTAGTTTTTTTTATTTAGTGAACATATTTGTTTTTATATAGTGAACACTGAACATGTTCTTAAATTTTCAAAATTAATAATAATTATTTTAACACAAGGCACAATGTCATAAAATAGTTTTTTTTTTTCTTAAGCAGATGTTTGGAAACCATTAGTTTTTTTTTCAATTCCTACTATTAGTTCACACTCTCTATATATTTTTATATCTTGTTCAAATTTTCAATCGCTAATGAAATATTTTTTATTCATCCACTCAAGTGCAAATACATTTTTTTGAACTTTAAATGGATGATACTTGATTTTAATACAGTTTTTTTCAAATATCAATACTCTAATTAAATTTAATTTATTTATTTTAGTTTTATATGGCAGAAAAAATCTTTTAAATAAGATATTCAGCAGGACATAAATTTAAGAATAAATAGAGTTACAGGAAATAATGCAGTTTTAGGAATTAATGCAGTTTTTTCGAAAATTAATTCATTAACTAAATTTAATTGCAAGGAAATTCACTTTCTATTTTGTGATTCTGTCATTTGCATATACATATTAATATTAATTGTAATTATTTAATAAAAAGTAACTGAAATAAAATTGTTCTTTGTCTAATTAGGAATTGACTTTAAAGATTGTTTTTATATCACTTGTTTTTTCAATGGTCTGCATTATTTAATTTAAATAATAGGGGAGAGTTGGATAAAACGGGATAGTCGGACAAAACGGGATACGTCGTCTAGGGACCAGACTATTGCAGCTATCTAGTGGACAACGACAGAAACGTGTTATTCGACCGTGATTATATCATTCTCGGTGCGTCCCGCCTCGAGATCACTATTTGATAGAAAGTTGTAGGTCTCAGAACTTTTTTACTCTATTTTTTTGCCATTTTCTACATTTACGTGCGTTGTTTTTTACATTGTACTGCCTACATATATGGGAATAAAATTCCGGTGAGTATTAAATTTAATTAACCATTTATTTACCAATATTTTTATGTGCAGTCTATCTAATTTTCTTTTCACATTTAGGCAGCAGCCATGTTTGTTTCAAAAAGTGTCGGAGTCGGACAAAACGGGACACTTGTGAGTTGGATAAAACGGGATAGAGTTTTTTATGTCCCGTTTTATCCACCTATTTATTTGTTGGATTATTACATTTTAAAATAGCCATATATTAATGTAGGCCTAGGCTTTTTAAACAACTTATTTATATTAGCTATATATATTTTTGAAAAATTTAGTCTCTTTATATAGTAATGCAAAATTTGTTTATTAACGTTCATTATTAAGCATTTTATTTTCGACTCTAGGATTTCACATCTTTCTTTAGAACTAATTGTAATGTATTTCTCTGAGGAAGACTTGAGCTTTTTTATATATAAACAATATTAATTATATATTTGCATTATTTATAATTTTATATTTATATAAATGCAAAAAATTAAACATCGTAAACCCTATCCCGTTTTATCCAACCCAGGTATGCTAAAACGGGATACGTAAGAGTTTGGAAATTAATTTTTTTTTCTATTTCACAGTCATTAAAATTAGTTGAAAATATGTTTTTTGTGTGCTTCAATAAATGTTGTAGCTACAAAAAAATAACGTATGGTTTTCCTTAACAGATATTCCGTAGTAAATAAAAACAATAATGGTATCCCGTTTTATCCAACTCTCCCCTATATTAAATAATATTAATTTTATTACAAGACACATAGTGTTCACAATAAAGGTAATTTGTTGGACTGGAATAATCAAATTAGAATGAATCTGAGGTTATCTTAAATCTTTTTATGTAAAAACTTAGTATTTAATTTTTAATCTCGTACTTAATATTTCGTTTTTATCTCTCGGTTGGACAAATACTTCGTATTTTTTATTTATGAAAAAATACATAGTTTTTGTAATTACACAGTGTTAAACAAAATGATAAAAACAAATAAACATCGTTGCTTCTTTTTATTGCCAGGAGAAAAAATATAGGAAAAGCTCTCGTATAATAAACACGACATTTTAATTTAATTTATCTGAAACTATCTAACGTTTCAGAAATGAGGATTCATTTAAGGAAACAATTTATTTTATGATGAGTGTAAAAAAGCAAATAAATCAACTTATTTAAAAGATATAGATGAAAGTTTACCTTTTCTTTTCATTCTAACAATGTGCAACTTCATTACAATCACAATTAAAAGTATCACTAGTATTAGACCAACAACAGCACCACACAAAATTGTAATAATGACTGGACTTAAACCTATTTGCCAAGGGTCATCTAGAAAAAAATAGGAATAAGGATTACTTAGAATACAATGGAAAAATTATACACATTACGAAATGTTTTTCTAAAAAAACGTAATAGTGTCTGTTCTTAAAATCTCAAAAAGAAAATTAACAACATTAGATTTTATGATAACTTTAAGCATCTAAGAAATTATTTAAGCAAATTCTGTCGCTTAAAAAAACTAGATCCTTTGACTTACTTTAACTTTGTTTCGAATCCTGTGTCTATATACATATAAAAAAAATTAAAACATTTTTCTATACATAAACTAACATTTTCTTATTAACCTGATGCAATGAAGAATTGAACCCAAACAAAAAGGATTCATCACTTCAATTGAAAATAAGTTTGAATTTTAAGAGCAGTGAAACAATGATAGTTTGTAGGGGTCCTCGATGAAATTTTAGTAGTTCTAACACGTGCAATAAAAGCTAACGAAAACTAAACTATATACGGACTGAAAATAAGGAATCAAAATTCTTCAGTGACAGAGAGTACCCTAATGATTAATACCCAAAAAAGGAACAAAACCTTAACATATCTTGTGCCACAGTTTTTGCTTTTATAGTAAAAACTGACCGTTGCACATCTTAAGGTAACGAGCTCTATCTCTTGAGCCAGTGCTAACTACATTTTATATTACGTGTGCTTTTTGGTTAATAAATTATTTTGCAAACTCTTTTTTTTTATTGCCATATTTAGTGAAACCAAAGTTTCTGAATTCCACAAACGGTTTTGGTAGAACTTTCATTTTAATTAGCTGTTGAATTACCACCGCAGTGAAAATGCAAAAATTTGGTAAAATTTAAGTAGCGTAGAAAAATGGTATAACATCTACTGGAATATAAAGAAACTATTGATTTAAAAAAAACATATATGTATGCCTGTTTTTGTTTTTAAATCAGTAATTTTAACAGACTTACCTTGTCTTGTTTGACTTTCAGGTGAGGCAGCTGTAGTTGCTTGTATGATGTTCGGCTTACTTCTACCCCGAGCATTGGTAGCAAAAATTGAAACTGTGTAAATTGATCCCGGAAGAAGTCCTCGGGCAATGAACTCAGCAGTTTGGGCCGAGACATTTTGTTGGAGAACATTACTAGCGATATCGCGGATTTCCATAAAGAAGTGCTGGCTTAAGCCACCATCTTTGCCTTCCATACATATAATACGAAAAGAATTCTCAGTTTCTTCGGTCAGTGAGCAGTTATGAACTGGTTGTGGTGGCTCTGAAAAGAATTAATTCGAATTATTATATTTTGGGAATATGCGTAATAACTTTTAAAAAAATAATAATAAATTCCAATAATAAAAGGTAATGTTCCCAACAATCTTTATTAACTGTATTGTAATAATAAAATACTGACAGCATTTACAAGCTTTGGAATTGAATGATACTAGTAAGCCATTCATTCACCATTTCTAGTAAGTTATTTGATATACACTTATATGTAAATTAAGGGTAATAATTGCTTGCCAAAATACTCAATTGCGGAACAGGGAACTAAACTGATGGATATAGTTTTCATTTTAAATGGAATTTAAAAAAAATTTTGATTTTAAACCAGATGTTCAAATTGCTTTTAAAAAGTACTTTTTATTGTACGTCTGAAAAATCAGCTGAAAAAGAATTTTATTTATTTTAGAATATGAGAAAATTTTTTTATTTATTAAAATGCATTAAAATGATTAACCTACTACATCGTTCAGCAAAAACTCATTTTCAGACATGATAATTGTTGGGAAAAAATCAAGATAAATCTGATATCTCTGGAATAGAAATTCCGAAAGAGTGAACTTTTTGACGAAATTTCTTGTTAGCCATTGTACGTGCTGAGTCGTTAGTTCACAGAATGAGAACAGTGTAGGACATATTTTTATCGTAGTTTTCATAAAAGAAATTTATTTATATAACGATGTGACAGCTAATAATTTTTAAAAAAAAAATGAATTGATATTTTATTTAAATGCAAAACAAAAAAAGAAAAATTCGGTGAAATACGTTTTTTTCACTTAGGGAGTCTGTCTTCTTTTTTTCCTCTTTTCTTTTTCTGCTTTGTTGAGTTTTGTGTTTTCTTAAGACAACTAATTGTTTTCTGGGAAGGTACTGGTCACTTTTCTGGAATTATTTCTCCTAAGCTATTGCGTGTGCTGAGTTTGCAGTTCACTGAACGAGAGGCTCATTTATAAGACATGAACTTTTATCATGCAGTGTACGCCTTTATCATAAGACATGCATCAATAACATTTCATCAGATTTTAGCTATGAAGGCGGGAAGACAGTTTTGAAATGTGTCATCTTAATTTGTTCTTTTAGCTCTGAAAGTAAATACCTCTTATTTTGATATATGATATCGATTTGATGAGTCATATGTAATTGATGAAGTTATATAGTTCTTCTCCATAGCTCTTTTTTATTCATACTAAGAAGTATAAACACGTATTAACATGTAACGTAAACATGTGCACAAAAATGTAACTTTTATATTACATACTACCTAAATACAGTTTTTATAAAGAGTTTGTTCATACCACGAATACATACACATTTATTTCATAAATAGCTGTTTAAATAGCAAAAACCATAAACAGGCAACTCTTCCGAAATTAGTGTTACTATAGCAACTTTATAACTTTTAAAATTTACTTCATGCCGCATTATTTAGCTATTTGATATCGATTTGATGAGTCATATGTAATTGATGCAGTTATATAGTTCTTCCTTATAGTTCTTTTTTATTCACACTAAGAAGTATAAACATGTATTAACATGTAACGTAAACATGTGCACAAAAATGTAACTTTTACATTACATACTACCTAAATACAGTTTTTAAAAAGAGTTTGTTTATACCAAGAATATATTCACGTTTCTTCCATAAACATCTGTTTAAATGGCAAAAACCATAAGCTGGTAACTCTTCCAAAATTAGTGTTACTATAGCAACTTTTTAACTTTCAAAATTTACTTCATGCCGTAAGAAAATATTAATACCGAACTCCATGTAAGCACACTGTAAGAAATTTATATATATATATATATATATAAGTTCAAAATGAAGAATAAAACAAAGAAAAATTATAGACATATGAAAAAAAGGGGGTGGGAAATAATAAGTAAAAAAAAACAACAAACATTTTATTTAAAAAAAAAAAAAAAAAAAAAAAAAAAAAATAAATGAAATGTTAATTAAAAAACCGGAAAAAAAGCCGGAAAAAAAAG